ATTGTAAGAAACACAAATTAGATGAAAATGCGTTGATACTTGTAATAAGTAAAAAAATAACGTAACAATGGCTTTAAATTCTTCCAATGCCATACAGACGCTTAAAATCTGTTCCTGTTATTGACAGAATTCTTATCGGACCTTTTCCCGAATCTTGAAACAAGATTCCAAGTCCAGCTATCAGAGCCTCGATAGCCGAACTCAAACAACTGGCCTAACCCTCGGACGCATCTGCCCCACACAAGCCCAACGATTTAGCGATTCGCAGCGGCGAACAATTGATTCCAAAGAGCAACTTTGATTCCAGGCAGCAGGATGTTGTTCCTGACGGTGGCGGCATGCCTTTTCATCACGGTGCAGGCCGGATGTCCTATGAGGCCCACCGCACAACAATCTTCCAGTAACAGGACCTCCGGCGACGGTGGTTACAGGATTCTCATTAGCGGGGAATCGGACAAGTACATCCCGCACGCAGTCTACACAATCAGACTACAAGGTAACGTCCTACATTTCCTGTTTACCGGCCGCCTTCGCAAACATGGTCCCATTCGAGGATCACGGGCGCTCCGCGCTCGATCCAGCGTGAAAACGTTCTCCGACTTCAACGCCGGCAGCGTCCATGAATTTTGATGGGGTGTCTGCTGTGCCGAGCCGTCGATGTAACGTGCACGAATTAAAATTGAACCGGTGATTTCAGGCTCGAGGACGCACGAAAGATTGCAGCAGTTCACGAGATTCACCCTGTCCGCGCACTCGCAGCATGCACCCAACAACCCCGCTGCTCGGATCGGTTACTTCCAATTATTCCCGGACTCGTTGACCACCTTCAACGAGGATTGCGTCAACACCATCTCCGAGGCGTCGGATTATCCGAAAACCGAGGTACAAATCCGCGATGTCACAGTAATGTCTCTCTAATTGACGCTCAGATTGTCGACAAAAATGGACAATTTAGGGAGAGCAGATACGATTATTCGATCCTTGCGGTTTATTTTTATGGTTATAAATTGTCCACGATTATAAAAACGAGCTGCGAGGTTCGAATAATCGTATCTCCTCTTCCAAAATTGTCCGTTTTTGTGCACAACTTTTTTGTGGACATTACTGTATTAGGTCGAGTCATATAATAACTTCCGATGCAGCTAGGTAGAATCTATTGTTCGTATCTGATAATGGTTCGAAATAAATAAAATAAAAAAGGAAACAAAAGAATAAATAAAAAAGGAGAACAAAATAAATGTTGAATAAAAAACGGAAAAAACCGTTTTTTCCGTAAAAAAACGGAAGTTATTTATGACTCGGAAGTTATTTATGACCTAACATATTGTAAACTGCGAATCTTATAGGAAATAATAATATGTTGACGCATGAGGTTGGCTTCTGCGAGAATTTGCGAGGACTTTTTCGCTGCCTTGTCGTTTAATAACGTTTAAACGCGTCGATTAATTGTGCATGCAAGTTTTTGTAGATTTATTTGTTGCTACGCGGATTATAGCGCTCTGCGTAACATTTAAGAAACGATTTGTCGCAAAAGCAACCCGCGGGAAATTAAATGTTTCAAACATTCTGCATATACCAAATAAAAAGTCTCATCTAAAAATCGCCGAATGGAGACTGCAACAAAATACAACGTCGGAAAATTGATCTCGGTCGCTGTCACGGAAAAGGATAATCGGAAAAATCGCGAGCTGACCAATTTCTCACAGGTTTGTCTTCCCTCGAGCCTCGTATGTACCGACCTCGCCGTCTACAATAAAAATCGAGGGAGGCCGATCTCGGATAGATCCCGCGGACCTGGCCACTGTCCAAGCGTCGATGGTGCCTGATGCCTCGGCATTATCGTGGCCAGGATTCGTGGGCTTCCGCAACAAGACAGTAAAACGTTTCTTACCGCTGGCGCAGGTCCAAGTGATGTGGAGGGCACCGACGAACGGATCGGGATGCGTTATCTTCACGGCCATGATTCTGGAGAATAACGTGCGATGGTACGCCGAGGACGATGCTCTGACCAAAACCTTCTGCGAGGTCGGCCCTAAGGATGTGGAGGTCCTCGACGTCGACAGGTGCTGCGCCTGCGACGAGGCCAAGTATTCGGTACGCCTAACCGTTATCCTCTGTTTAAACAAAAATTATTTGGCACACGGGTCTCTTAGAGGAACAACTCAGATATTGAGGGATATTTTTTGGAAAATTTTTAGGGACGTTCTTACTGACTTCGAACATTTTCTGAAGTTTGTATCGTGCATCATGATCCTCTATCTTAATATATTTTTTAGCAAATGTGATACGACGAGCAGACCATTGGAAACGGTGGGTATATTCAGACAAAATTTTGAAGGACATTCTTACTGATTCTGAACATTTTTTGAACTTAGTATGGTACATCATTATGCTCTGTTTAAAACAAAAGTAATTAAGAAAATGGATATGGTGAACAGACTATTAAAAAATAGAGGAACATTTCTTGGAAAATTTTGATGGGCCTTTTTACTGATTTTAAATGTTTTGATTCTGTGTTTTAACATATTATCATCAAATTGGCCAGTGGACCATTGAGAACGAGTGGGTTATTTTCTGGACAATTTTGAAGAATATTTTACAGTATCTGTAACTTGCAATTAGTATGACAAACTCCGTATCTTGAACAGCTACTTAGCAAATTATATTATATTTATATATTATGAAATATCTCTTGACGAATGGTTAATATAATCGTCTACTTTCATCTTAAAATTGCGTTCACAGACTAATAATCCATAAAGCCAGTTCATCGAATCGAATGTCTGAGTACGTAGAAAATTATACAATATTTACCGCGATGCATTCCATAAATGCATAAAATGATCGATCCAGATATACGTCCATACATCCGTGGCTCCAAGAAAATTTAGCCAAATAAAATCGTCAACGATTTTCTCAGACGATAATACTCCTTTCGCACGTCCGATTCGACAAGTTTATTCAAAGAATCGTCTAATTCGCAGTCGCTAATTCGGACTTACAAGTGCACGATTTGCAATCAAGGAATTCGGTCCGTGTGAAAGCAAACAATTCCAGAAAATGGAAGTCACCGGCAACACCTTTGGAAAGCCGCGGTCGCCCGCGGCTCCAGCATTGTCATGCAAACAGGGTGCTCCGTTTAATCTAATACGCGAAGTTGCCGGCGGTATTTCAATGATTTCGAGCGGCTGTGCCTGTCGCAGCTAACTATGGAGGGCATCTGGTCGAACGTGACCCATCCGAAGGACTTCCCGTTCTCCTTGTGGCTGACCCACTTCAGCGACGTGATCGGCGCGACCCACGTCCCCGGGTTCTCCTTCTGGGGCAAAGACCACATCGCGACTGATGGGTTTCGGCAGCTGGCCGAATGGGGATCAGCATCCGGGGTGGAGGCAGAGCTCAGGGCTAACTCCAACAAGCTGAGGACCCTGATCAAGTCCGCCGGCCTTTGGTATCCCAACGTAAACACCAACACTACCACCAGCTTCAGGTAAATCTTTCACCATCATCCTCCGTTCGAAACGCCTCGGAACGTTGGTCCAGAACAGGATTTGCACATTTTGTCCATCGAAGTCGTTGTCATCAGCCTAAATCCAATTTGGTGTCCCTTTTAGAAACTAGAATTTTAGGATCCTTTTCTTTCGGTTTAATCCATTATTGCTGCACTTGGAACAATGAGATATAGACATTAGATCGTAGGAGTACAGTTAGAGAAGAGCAGCTACGAGGAAGGATCAGCTTCTAAAATGAAACTCATTTTTATAATTCATGGTCAGATAGTATCATTAGAAACACTGTAAATATTTGTTTTGCCTCGAAACAATCAATGATAGACAATAGAGAAGATAAAGAATTAGAGACCTAAGTGCTAAAAATAACGCGAATTCAAGATTGTAGACATAGTGTTGTATTATGATACTTAGTTTATGATACTTAGCAAGACTATATCCAAAGAATAATCCTTATCAACTTACGCGGTTAATAATAGAGCTAATATTTTTCTTGCTCGAGTTAGACGATCTCTATTAGGCTACTCTCTTTTACAGACAATGGGCTAAAACTAGAAGCAATCTCGAATCATGTACAATAATACAGCAACTATTTTTCCTGACCAAGATAGGTAGAGATCCATATTAGGCTACTCTCTGTTATAGACGATGAATTAAAACTGAGAACAACTTGAACCGAAGATGATAGACGTCGAAGGATGCGCCGATCCGCAACTGCGTTATATTATATATTTATAACTAAATGAATGCACTTTCTCACATTAAAATCGATTCTTCTTCAGAGTAGACAGAAACCACCCGCTGCTGTCGGTGGCCTCGATGCTGGGACCGTCTCCGGACTGGGTGGTCGGCGTCAGCAAATGGAACCTCTGCAGAAAGGACTGCACCTGGACGAAAAGCGAGATAATCGACCTCTACCCCTGGGACGCGGGCACCGACAACGGCATCTCTTACATGTCTCCCAATTCCGAAACGAAGCCCCGGGAGAAGATGAAGCCGATAACCACCCTGTACCCCGAAGATCCTAGATCACCGTTCTACGATCCGACTGGTAGACCGATGATGCCGTTGGCCAGGCTGTACTTGAACAGGGAGAAGCTGGTTTCCAGGAGCTGCAGCGAGGAGATCCTTCAGCAACAGGTGTCGCAATTGGAGGTCGCTGAGAACACCGAGGACACCGCCAGGCGTAAGACACCTCAGCATTTTTCAGTTCCTCTATGCAGAAATTTCACGTCATCTTTGGAATGCTTTGGCGACGATGTTCTCTTCTGGAATGTCTTCCCAGCAATGTTCTCTTTTGAAACGTCTTCCTAACGATGTTCTTCTTCGGATTGTCTTCCTAACAATGTCCATCTTTGTCCAATGAAGCTGAATGTGGGACCACGAAGTACTCGGACTGGTCAACCTGCTCGGTGACCTGCGGCAAGGGACTGAGGATGAGGACCAGGTCCTATCTGATGCCGGAGAAGGCAGCGATGTTCCAGTGCAACATGCAACTGGTCTCGAAGGAGATGTGCGTCGCCTCCATACCAGAATGCTCGTGAGTGTCCCAAATCTGATTCGTTTGACAGTGGAAAACGTCTAGACGATGGACGATTGCACCGGTGACACTGTTTGACTCCATCCGGACAGCTTTTCGTAGACGTATTTTAACGATCCTTGCAGACACTCAAGATCATTAGTTGACAGTGAGCTTCGTTATTTTTGCGTTCGAACCGCTACGAAACGTTTCACCAAAGAAAGTAAACGGTAAACTGATCGCAGTAGTTGTTTCACGAAAATTTGTTGCATACACCATTTACAGTAATGTCTCTCTAATCGACGCTTAGATTGTACACAAAAATGGACAATTTGGGAAGAGGAGATGCAATTATTCCGAGCTTTGCGGTTTGTTTTTATGGTCACGAATTCTCAACGATTATAAAAACGAGCTGCGAGGCTCGAATGATCGTGTCTCCTCTTCCCGAATTGTCCATTTTCCTGCGCAATCTTAGCGTCAATTAGGGAGACACTACTGTACTTCGCGAACAAGATCACGTAGATGCATTCGTTGTATTCTAATGAAACAGCTTGCATCTCGTCACCTCAAAGACCCAGTAGATTAAATCGAATGTCGAGGTGGCAAGAGACAATGATTTAGCTACTGTCTAGCACAAGATCACCGAGGTAAGTTCTTAACGACCTCTGTGCAGAGGGGAAGAGGAGTCGATCGAAGAGGGGGTAGTTGCCGTAGACGATGCGCTCTGCATGACCACGGAATGGAGCAAATGGAGTCCATGTTCCTCGAGCTGCGGGGTCGGGGTGTCGATGCGAACTAGAAGATTCAAGGATCGCATGGGTCGCAAGCGATGTCCGCACGTCTCCATTGTCGATAAGATGAAGTGCATGATGCCAGCGTGTGAAGACGGCGAGGGCGAGGAACAAGTTGATGCCGCGTGCCAGGTATCTCGCATGATTCAGCCGATCTTCCGATCGCTCGTTCAGCTTTTACCTCGCCGATTCGTTCGACTTCTCGATCGATATCGTCACGAGTCAATCTTGTCTTCTTCAAGGTAACAGAGTGGTCGAACTGGTCGCCCTGTAGCGTCTCCTGTGGCAAAGGGACAACGTTGAGAAGTAGACTGCTCCTCACTCCGGATCGTCCCGAGTGCTACGATATCCGGTTGACTGATCGACAATCTTGCTTGGAGCAGGCTGACTGCACCTTCGACATGGCCACCGCGAAAGGTAAATCGGTCTTTTGGGATTGTTGAACGTCTTCTTTGAGATCGTGACTCGTCGAGGCCAATGGATTAGGTACCGGGGATTCGTCGACGATGATGAAGATCGCTCACAGATTTACTTAGCAACTTTTTAAATATGTTTGCCGGAGACTAGGTGAAAATACATTTGACGATGTCGTGGATCGTTCACGGATTTGGTTAGCAGTTTTTTTTTAAATATGTTCGGAGGACTCTTCTTTCAGTACCATCGTTGACAATACGATCGACGATGCTGAAAATGATCGACAGATTCAGTTAGCAAATATTTCAGCATGTTTCGGAGACGCTATTCGCAGAGTCGCCGATGGCAGCACATTTGACGATGCTGAAGATCACTCGCCTCTTTAATTAGCGATTTCCTTGAACGCGTTCTCGAAGATGCTTCTTGTAGATCTGTCAATCTCCTTATTGTCTCCGGTAGAACAGCATATTACACATTAACACATGAAACAATTGCACGAGGAATTTGACATCCGAAAAAATGGCTATCGTAGGGCTGATAGGCTCTCGAACAGAGCAACGAAACCTTTCAAACAATAATTCCCCGAAAAGGTTCAATTAATAATTGACAAAGGTTTGGATTATATTAGTCCAAGATTTATTTCTTCGAGTTTAAAATTGCTGTTCCTATGGAAAAGTCGGCAGCGATGCAAGCGTGTTTATGTTTCCAGTGGTCTGCATGGAGGAACCCGATCCAGGTCCCTGCAGAGGCTACTTCCAAAGATGGAGCTTCATTCCTCAGAAACTGATGTGCGTGCCGTTCGGTTACGGTGGGTGCCGTGGCAACAGGAACAACTTCTTGACTGCCGAGGATTGCAACAACACTTGCAGCGTCGTTAGTACACCTCTCTCATTATCTTAATTATCGCAAGCCACACGGTACAACGAAGACATTTCTTCAGGTGAGAGCGATCCTCAGCGGAGACTCGGTGAACTTTACCAGTCCTCAACAGTCGCCTGAGTCCGCCGCTCCGGTTGATTGCCTCGTGTCCAGCTGGTCACCTTGGACCACTTGCAGCGCTTCTTGCGGCACTGGACGCGTCACCAGCTTCCGGACCATTAAGGTAAGATGATCTGACAACCGGTGACATCTTCATGGTAACATTAAATAGCAGAGAATCTTTGTTTTCGCCGTGCTTTTCACGATTTTATGGAGTAAATGAAACGAAGAAGAATAGAAATCGCGATGAATTGGAACACTGCTCTATCTGATCGAAAAGTTGCTCGAACAGCAAGCTATAATTCGCTGTAAACGAGCAATTACAGGTTGAAAGGTAGCTGTGTACTTGCTAAGCGAAATACAACAGCGCCGGTATCGCTTTCTCGCACGTTTCTATGAAGTATGAAATTATGACTAAAAAAATGACTGAAAATAGGTGGGAATATCGCTTGGAGGCTTCGTGCGTCAATTGACGTGGAAACTGCACTGCAGGTTTTATGCACCGGAGGCAATAAAGCGATGCTTGAAATAGGGGACAGTGGGAATTACGAAAGAATTTTCAGAAATACAGTTATATTCTCAACTTATTAAAATGATGTCGCTTCGGAACATTTCGAGTGTGTACTTAGGTTTGCTAATTATTAAAATACTGTTGCTTCAGAATAGACAGAATAATTCACAGTTCTGATTAAAACCACGTCGAATCTCTCAAGATTTGATCGACTAACAATCGCGTAATGACTGAAAGTATTAAAAAAGCAGTGCAGTTACACCGTCCACACAAGCAAATCCAGAATGGGGACAATTAGTTTGCGAATCGCGCGGACGCGTCGAGCTCTTCGAGTGCTACGCTCTGTCGGCGGTTCATTAATAAGTCATAGCACCGGGAACGATTCCCCACGGGTGCTGTATGCACTATCTATCAAAGTCTGTGAATTTTCAGCAACAGCCGCAGAACGGTGGCCGTCCTTGCCCGAAGAAGCTGCAGCGTCGCTCGCGGTGCCTGCTCGCGCCTTGCGAGTAGCACTCGAAAATAAACTCGATCCGGGACCGGCGGAGCTGGAACAGCAAACAGAAGAGACAGGGACCATGATCGCGTTTAGGCGGGTGCCGTGGAACACGTTAACGCTTTGACCGTGATGCCAGCAATCTTAAACGTTTTATAAATACAAGTATTTTATTTAACGCGACAGGTTTACGAGCGTCAAGATGGCGCGATCCGAAAATTCGAACTTCCGAAATCGTAAAAAATACATTTTGCGGGGAAGTTAATCAACAAATTGGTTTCATTGGACATGAATTTACCGACGAAGGTTAAGAAACATGTTACATCTTAATGTGGAACAATTTTAATTTTCCATGGCTTTATAATTTTGAAGTTTTATTTTATTTTTCTAGTTCTTATTTTTTATTCTTTTTATCTCTACTATCTTTTTTATTTCTCGTACGCACTGGATAAAACGATATTGCAATGTAAACAATTTGTTGTACGCCTAGCTATAATATGTACTTTTAAAATATCATATTTGATGATGAAAATGTTTAAAAATACAAACAAATACGTGCTCTTTATTTTTATAAAGGAATATGAAATAGCTGCTTTTGCTGGCACGAAAAGCTAGTGTTAATCGAATTAGAATTAAAAATTAACGCCTAATAAAAAAGATATAATAGATTAATTTAAGTAAGAATTAATTTCTGAATCGCGGCAAACACACAGTTCCGTCACTCGTACACATGTGTGAACGACGCGACAATCAAAGTGTTAAAAACCGACAGAGAGAATCGTCAGCCGTTTTACATTATCCGCCTCGAGTGCGAAGAGATTACGCGAGTTCTTTCTTTCTTCTACGAATAACATGATGGGTATGAAATAAACCGATGTATCAGAATAAATGGTATTTTATTAATGGTCAATCGTGATCTTCCTACTCCCGGTCGAATAATCGAAAACACGTGGCAAACGAACATAACCGAGCTTGTTCTGCCTTATTGCGTTCGAATCTCGCGCCGTAACATAGTCCGCCAAGCGAGTGCTCCTGAACCCAGGGAATTAGGCTGACAGAAAGGTAAATCGTTAAACAATTCGAGTTGCAATCGATGCTGGAAGTGTGTTACCCTGATCACTGTACGATAATCGTAGAACATTTTTCTGTCTGTTACGCTAATTGCAGGAGGATTAACACTAGAAGTACCCGAGACCTCGACGATACTCGTTAGTCCTCGCGGATTTCCGATTTTACAATTTTCGAAGTTCCTGACATTTTTTTAGAGATTTCAATTTTTCAGATTATCTCAGTTTTCTCAATTTTACAATGTTCTAACTTTCCGATATTCACGTTCTCATTTTACTATTTCTTTTAATTTGTTCAATTTCAAATTGCTTCTAATTTTACAATTTTTATACCTTCTTTCGTCACCGTTCATACAACCCTTATACATTCTCTCGTTTTTCCCTCGTTACTAAATCGATAATTTTAATAGTTTCTACTATTTTCTGAACGTTCTTTCGTTTTATTTCATCTGCGATTCTTAACTTCACAATTATCGAACGTGCCTTCGTTTTCTTTTCATTTCGAACTTACGATTTAAACATTTTCTAATCTTCACTGATTCTCATCGATCTCGAACTATTAATTTGAGTATTTTCGAACTTCTTCTCTTCTCATTCCCCATTACAGATTTCCAATTTCCCGGCTCTTTTATATTTCATCTCGAAAGTCGCCCTAATTGTTCGTCTATCGTTCCAGATCTTCCATTGTACAGTACTTAAAATTGTAAAACATTTTCATGACACATTATGAAATAAATTTCCTTATTCGAGCGTACACTACAATCAGTCTGTGGATCTTTACGCAAATTTCTATGTTTACCGTTTATTCTACGAACATCCGAATAAAGGAAAAATATGTCTCGCTAAGCAAGACGTTCGAAATGCCGTTATCGTACTGCAATATAAACGATTTCCTTGCACATTACAAAAGTTGCAAATATTAAAATTGCCTAAAGCTCCACAGTCCAACAATAACAAATTCAATTTCTCTAATCTAGAACGCAAGCCAGCACCCTTCCTCGATACCTCTAGCGTCGAACGCTTCGCGCAAACTGATCCCCAATCAAGGAAAGCGATATAATTGATCAACACCCGATGATTTCCTCTAAATAATCACCCTCGACACAGGATCCTGTCTCAGACAGGCATGATCCCATTTCCCGCGATACGTCGGTGCGCGCGCTCGTGAAGTATGCAGTCAGAAACGATAATATGAAATTTTCGATCTCGTGAAAAAATTCCGCTACGTTCGTACAACTATTATAATTCACCTTTCGAACGGTACGATCTATAATTACGGTTCGCCGGCTTATCTCGTTAATAAAACAGTTGGTTCCGTGGTTTTGTATTTTTTGTTCCGTTCATTTGGTATCGTTTGGTTTCATCGTTGATCCTTCCCCCATCCACCCCCATCCCCCACCCCCTCACACCTCTCACGCATACCGCGTCCACATTGTTTCGTTAATCTCACAATAATGACCGCTCACAATGTAACATTCACTACGACGTTTGCCAAGTGGACAGCTAACTTTACATTTACAATAATAATCTCATAAATAATACACGTAGGCGGTACGCTGTGACTAGTGCGATCTGCTGGGCCCGCGATAACGATCGTACGAACGAATGACAGTCGGTCCGGACTATCTTCGTGCCGGAGCTGTCGTAAACTGTACTATAAGAAATTCATACTGATCAAATAAATGATCCCCGACAGATTCGAACGTGTCAGGAGCTCGAAGGAAACCTCGAAAATTCCTACAAGATCAAAGTTACTATATTAGCACGATCGAAACAGAATTCTGATTCGTTTGCATTCTAAACAGCATAGTTCAACTTATGCGAATACGTCACAATAGATATTGACTTCTACAGCTGGTCAAAGGATATGGCACTCGCTATGTTCGACAACTGAAAATCGTCCTGTCATGACAGCTCCATTATAAATACATTAAAGATTAAAAAATTCCCAAAAAATCAATGCAGTTGGAACAATGAAACCGGGGAAGGATAGTTAACAATTGATTCTAGTGGAAGCTCCTCCGAATCTTTTGCATTCTAACAATCCTAGAAAACTGCATCCTACTCGAATACGTCAAGATTAAATTGCACTCGATACGAGAGTCGTCGAAATAATTTTACGGACGCTGCAATAGCACGTATATAAAAGAAAAAGATAGACAATAGAAGACACTTAAAGTTACAGTACAAAATCTAACAATCGGGAAGCCCATAACTATCGTACGCTAGATTATCTTACAAAGAATGTACAATGCATTCAGCGAAACGTTTAACCAAAGGAACTAAACGACGACGAAAATCGCAGCAACGGACGCGCGGACAAGTTGTCACGACTGCAATTGTTCTGCCGTGACGAATACGTCCTCTTAGAAAATACAGTAATGTCTCCCTAACTGACGCTTAGATTGTGCAGAAAAATGGACAATTTGGGAACAGGAGATACGATTATTCCGGCTTTGTACTATGTTTTTATAATCGTTGACAATCGGTAACCATAAAAACGAGTCGCAAGGCTCGAATTCGCAAGGCTCCTCTTCGCAAATTGTCCATTTTTATGGACAATCTGAGCGTCAATTACGGAGACATTGCCGTAGTTCTTGCGTCGCGCTGTTGGAGCGTTTACGGCAGCTGCGGCGCAAAGATGGCCGAAGACGGAAACGACGCCGCTTCGAGTTGGCCGCGGACGTTTTCGCGGGCCCGGCGACGCGTTAACATTAATGGTACTTGTTATTATCATACGTACACGTAATGTCTAGGAAGTAGTACGGATCTTTGTCTCTTGTAGGCCTCTACGCTAAGCTACTCGGCTCTCGTTCTTTGGTCGTGACACCCGCGCCTCCCTGTCCACCAGAGAAAAGTCTCCGCGAAAAGAACCGAACTAAACGGAGAGAAGTACTTCTTTCGCTCGAACCAAAGTAACCTGGAAGCTCCGTCCTACGCGGGAGTTCCTCGAAAATCAAGACGGTGCGCCGAGATTCGCCGCGATCCTTCGTCCGCGCCGCGCGATCGCCGTGGCGGTCTCGTCGGCAGATCCGAGGACGGCAGTTTTCCACGAGCGAGCACAATCGACCGGCCTGATTTTCGAGCACGAGAACTCCCTATTTTTTTCTGCTTCTTCTCAGTCAACAAATGCGCCGGGATCTACCAACTAATTCGGAGATCATCCGCGATCGGATCGATGGATCCAGGTTCGACTGGGCCCGCGGATAAATCAGAGACAACCGCCGCCGATGCACCGGAGAAAGAAACGCTCGGCCAGTGTGTGTGTGTATGTATGTGTGTGTGTGTGATTCTTTGTGTTTTTGACTAGACCTCGTCTCAGCGGGCAAATAAAAAAGTACGAAACGCTTCGTCGAGCCTCAGGCTGCAACGCCGATAGAAAAGCTCCGATATCTTCAGTAGACCAGCTTTCTGAAGCGACTAGGATAAATTCGACTCGTGTGTGTATGCGACTCCGCTAAAACGACGATAACAATCCTTCGGTTTTATTTATAGTAGTCGATGACTCTTACGAGCTGCTGGGTGAACGGAATTGTGGTCGGACTGGACGCACGTTCATTGAAACCGTTCGCGGGGCGATCTTGCTGAAATCTGGCTGCTCTTTTTATTGTGCATCCTTCGTGCTCTTGGATCTGTGCGATTATATTATTCGCGTTCTTTCGAACAGCTCCGTATGGATTTTCGTAGGTTTTGTCGCACTTGCCGATTCGCGCGTCAGCGGATATTTTAGTTATCTTTTTTGGTCGAATTGCTACGTTTCGTAATTTGATGTTTGATTTAAAAATTATTTTTGTCTGATAAATTTCCGCTAGAATGGTGATTTGTATGCATTTGTGAAACTTACTAATACGTAAAATATAGAAGAGACGTTTACGTTTTCATTGTTTTATCTGCTCTTTTTGTACTGGACTGGTAAAATCTGAACAGACTGGATTTGTGTCGTGGACCGTCAATTTTGTAAGAATCTAGATATATTGAAATTGACTAGCATAGAAAAATTAGTTTACGCTTTTTTATTATACACATTTTTACGTAGCCGTGAGTAGATTGAAGAACTGATCGAACTTTTGTATAATACAAATGAACAGATAATCCAGTTTTATGTCTTCGCCTGTTACCGTAGAAATTTTGATGGCACTCTTATGGGAACTAATTTGTATCGTATTATGCACGCATTCGTTTAATTGTGAATCGAATGATAGATTCATTCATATTTCTGATATTCTTCGCCGAGGATTTTTATCTAGCGGCAATCGCTATAAAAAGAATTGAGCAACCTCTTTTAAGTTCGCGCTATATCATCTTCAAGATACGACTTATAAACGCATAAGATGCATGATCTACGAGTTCAAACAGATCCCGCTGAGAATGGCCTGAAAATGGCCCGCTTCGTAACCACCCCCATCGCTCTGATTTATTCCTAACTAGCCGACCCGCATGAGTAATACACTCGGGAGGCTCCTGCAGATTTATATTCCTTAAATTGCAATAAACATGAAACGAATAGGCTCCGTTCAGTAAGTGTCTCGTTACAGCGAGAATATTTCACGGATATAGAAACACAATGAAGATAAAACAACGTTTTAGTTCGTGCGTCTTTCAAAGAAATTCTCGCGCTATCCTACAAAGACTGTGCTACATCATAAATCACATAATCGAAAATAATGTTCAAAAGGATAAGATTTATTTATTTATACTAGCATTTATGTTTTTTTTGCGATATACTATGTTCGCTGTTCATTAAAATTCTCATCGAAATATATACAATATATCTTTGAGAAAGATACATTGCAATAATACAAAACCGAAAACTGTCCTCCTAGTTGAATAAATAAATTCTTAGCTGAACAAATAAATTCTCAGCAAAATAGATAAATTCTTAAGTGAACAAATAAATTCTCAGCTGAATAAATAAATTCTCAGCAAAATAGATAAATTCTTAAGTGAACAAATAAATTCTCAGCTGAATAAATAAATTCTTAGCCGAACAAATAAATTCTCACTAGAATAGATAAATTTTTAGCTAATTAAATAAATTCTTAGCTGAATAAATAAATTCTTAGCCGAACAAATAAATTCTCACTAGAATAGATAAATTTTTAGCTAATTAAATAAATTCTTAGCTGAATAAATAAATTCTTAGCCGAACAAATAAATTCTCACTAGAATAGATAAATTTTTAGCTAATTAAATAAATTCTTAGCTGAATAAATAAATTCTTAGCCGAACAAATAAATTCTCACTAGAATAGATAAATTTTTAGCTAATTAAATAAATTCTTAGCTGAATAAATAAATTCTTAGCCGAACAAATAAATTCTCACTAGAATAGATAAATTTTTAGCTAATTAAATAAATTCTTAGCTGAATAAATAAATTCTTAGCCGAACAAATAAATTCTCACTAGAATAGATAAATTTTTAGCTAATTAAATAAATTCTTAGCTGAATAAATAAATTCTTAGCCGAACAAATAAATTCTCACTAGAATAGATAAATTTTTAGCTAATTAAATAAATTCTTAGCTGAATAAATAAATTCTTAGCCGAACAAATAAATTCTCACTAGAATAGATAAATTTTTAGCTAATTAAATAAATTCTTAGCTGAATAAATAAATTCTTAGCCGAACAAATAAATTCTCACTAGAATAGATAAATTTTTAGCTAATTAAATAAATTCTTAGCTGAATAAATAAATTCTTAGCCGAACAAATAAATTCTCACTAGAATAGATAAATTTTTAGCTAATTAAATAAATTCTTAGCTGAATAAATAAATTCTTAGCCGAACAAATAAATTCTCACTAGAATAGATAAATTTTTAGCTAACTAAATAAATTCTCAGCCGAATAAATAAATTCTTAGCTGAATAGATAAATTCTTAGCCGAACAAATAAATTCTCAGCTGAATAGATAAATTTTTAGCTAATTAAATAAATTTTCAGGCAAACAAACAAATCCTCAGCTAAATAAATATCATCTCCCTAAATACCATCCCTAATCAATATCATCCCCATAAATGTCATTTCCCTTAATTGCCTACCGAAACCGTAGCGTCGCGAGCTGTTATCGATAAAATTACTCTCTCTCTCTCGGTAATCTAAAACGCCGAGTCCAAGCCGACCACAACCGTTCGCGTTCCCATCGGTACGAGATCGTTCGACTAGTGCTGACTAGGCTAGCGATCGCCGATCCACTCGCCCGTTCCATTCTGGCAGTAGTAGCAGTAGTAGATCGTAGGATGTCAGGGAATAGATAAAAATCGTTTTCCACCGGCGATCACCGTTCCTCGACACCTGGCCGAATGGGAAAACGTTTCGGCCCTGCTCCCGATCGTTCTACGCCGCGTTCCCTTGCGAACGACGTTTTCCTTGCAGACGAGGATTGACTTTAACGGTCCAGGGGTCCCGGGAGAATGGCGGCTTGTCGACGGTGAAAATGAACGCCGCCGGAGGCATAGGAAATCGATGATCTCCTGCCCGGAAGTTTGGATATCTCGACACACGCTGCCTCGGATCTTGATCTCCTCGAACGAAGAAGAATTCGTCTCGCGTCGGGCGCCGTCAAGGAACACCGACGTCGTTACAAGAGAACGTTCGAGAACGAAAGTCGATCTCTGATGAAAAATAGGGAAGATTGTGATCGAGGAACGTGTGTCAGTGTCGCGAAGGTTCCACACCCGTCGACCGCCATTTTTCTGCCGCCTCTTGATTTTCATTTTTCTTGCTCGACTACGTGATTGATATTTTCTGTTACCGTTGCTGATCTTTCTGCGCGCGAAAATTGATACAATTGAGCGTGCTTCCCGTCGCTTTGCGATTGGGATTTTTCTCGTTCGACGAGAGAATTGGTCTTTTCGTGGTTCTTGGCAATTCTTAGAGTGTTGAACGATTTAACGTGTGCAGTGTGATGTGAAATATTAAAGGAAAAATAGAGAGCTTCGTTTTCTCCTGCAATGGATCGTCACTTCTCTTTGCAGAGAGCACTTATTTTAAAACTGTATGGGCAGCGAAACGCGAAAGAAATTATTTGTTTTACTAGCTTAAATGGTAATATAATAAAAGACGATGAGATTTTTTGCGATTCGATTTCACCGCTTTTTAAAATAAATTACCTAATCGTCAAACATGCTTTTTGATCGCTTTTCTGTGTTGCAACGTTGCACCGCAGGGTCATTTGGCAAATGCACTTACGGTGAAAAATCCAAGGAAAAGCTTGTTTTTTAAAAAAAATCTGAAACTGTGATACAATGAGAACCGATAAAAAATTGTACGATTTGATTGCACCTCCTCGTCAAATGCAGAATGCACCGATAGTGAAAAATCGATCAAAATAGTTGTTACGATGTAACCTCTATCCAAAAACAATTCTTAAAATCACCGATGCTTTTAAAGCAATTAAAACACTCTATTAAATCTAAGAGAATGAAAAAAATCCAGTATAGTGATTCAAAGTCGACCGATTAAAAAGCGTGACGACCACAGTAACAATTACAAAAGTGAGTCCCAGGAGAAAGAATGTTTTCATTCTTCACGGTAAGAGATCGAAGGACGATTAATCTTTTGCCGCACTTTGACGGGTCTGACTCATGATAGATATTTTTAATAACAGCTTGTTATACTGTTATTGTTACTGAAAATTCTGTTCTCTCGTCAACGATACTTAAGCATCAGAATAATTGAAACGTTATTACGATCGCGGACACGATATTCTGAGGTTGCCAAATCGACCGGACCATAAACTAATCGGCTTCAGAAGTTGGAACAATGGACTTTCACAAAGAAATCTTGAACCAAAATCAAAGTCCATTGTCTCGTTTTACAGAAGCGTTATTATTTTACATACCGGCCTGTTTTACGACCTCAAAATCTCGCGTGTACAATGGACTGGAAACCCATTTCTCGCAGCCAAAATACAATTTCTGAGTTTCACGTTTTGAAAAATTGTTGCATACATTACATGATAACCCTTCCACGCTTCAAAATCCATAATTTCAGTCATTATGAACTCATTATGTAGCACGTACATATTATTAAACGTATTTTCATTAGACGTGCAATACTAATAATTGGACGTATAATATTTACAAATAAATTACAGATCATTATGCGAAATAAAAATTGTCTAGCTCTATCGCAGCAAACAGGAGTTAAATAAAAATTGACTTTCATTCTCAACATTTGTAATCAATTGAAAATCATCGAACAACAATGCGAAATTTTCACCCTGCATTTCCTCGGATGCATTACTTTTGTCATAAAAGTCTATTTGTAACAATCTAAATTTTGCGGAGTGTTTCAAAAAATTGTCTGAAATCGTCGAACACAGCATTCGTCTTTTTAAATGTTAATACATATTTTTATCGTGACAATATCCCAGCTGGTGTCAATGCGAGCTCAACGACCTAAAACCTCGAGCCTCGAAACAACGCCGAAACAATTCCGGCCAGGGAAACGGGATTTTCCAGTCCAGCGTGCGCCAACGGAGATCGCGAAGCGAGAAAATGGCGTCGATCGTGGGACCGTCGCGACGTCCCGGTAAAAAAATGAAGAGGGCCCGCCGCGCCTATCGGTCGGGTCGACGAGCCAGATCGTGTTCGACGGTCGACGGTCGCTTACGTACAGTATATAACGTATATATACCTATATGTATAATATAATATAGTTTCTTTCTGTGTTTAGTCTTGGCGAGGTGCGTCGTCGCGAGAAAGGCATCGTTGTGCGTGTGCCGACGACGACGACGACTCGGATCGTCGATCTTTTCGGATCGATGATAGGCCGCGTTCCGTAGCTCGATCGATGTCGTCGTCCGCAGCCTGTCCGCGGCTGCATCTTCGAGTGATCTAACCGAACGGGGTCGAACACTGCTCGGGTCTGACCTCCGCCGGTGTTTAGCATGAACAGTTCGCTAGCTGACACGTCGCGCCATGGCGACCCGAGGATCGTCTCAGAGCCAGCCGCCTGTCACGTCGTGACCGGATATCGGCTCGATCCCCGGAAGCCGTTGCAGCTGCGTCGCCGAACCGTTTCTCTTCAGCGTCACCGACAGGGAACCGCTGGCGACCACGCTCTCCTCGGTGGTAGACGGAGTCAGCGGGGCTGCGGTCACCACTGCTGGACAAAAACCAAGCGGACACTCTCGTCAGTACCAACGTGATTTATTTCCCGAGGCCATTTATCACGCGAGACGTTCATTCGCGGAATAGAAAAACCATCGACTCGGTCGCCCTCTTTCTTTTTTCGCAGGGTCGCCGGGACTAACCCTGGAACATCGATAGGCGCCGGGACTAGGAGAACCCGGGTTTAAAAACGTTCCGAAAGTAACCGGTGTCGAAACTGTTCTAGAGGGTGGTCCACCTAAACGTTGCCACCTAAGTGTCTCCCCCCAAGCGTGATGCTACGAAAAATATTGCACGGAGAATTGAACCGGTATCGAGAGACGAATATGATGCAAAATACAACGAGACCTTGAAATCAAGGTTGTTTATGTCAAGGTCCAAAGGCTGTTTGAACGTCATCTCTGACTGTATTTTAATGGCAGCTATACGAAGCAATAAACAAAAATATGCACAACGATTTTGGAAACAAGCTCGAAGTATATATGAATAAATGTGCAAGAATCAATTGCAAGGGAAGTCTGATGAAAATTTTCAAACCCCTCAGGGTCCAATCCCTGCACCTGAAGAGTTCCAGCATTAACCATCAACCCTTTCATTGTCTAATCAAGCATCTGAGTATCTAATCGATCTTTTCAGTGTCTCGAATTAACTCCTTCGATACAAACTGTACGTATCTGATCAACGTCTTCAGTGTTTAATCAACGTCTTTGGTATTACAATCAACGTGTTCAGTATTTAATCAATGATTTTAGTATCTAATCAACGTCACCGGCATATACTCGGCGCCTTCAGCATCTAGTCGACGTCCTCGGCATCTACTCAACCATCTTCAGCATCTAGTCAGAATGTCTTCAGCATCTAGTCAACGTCTTCAGCATCGGGTCAACGCCTTCAGTAACTACCGACGACGGTCTACAGTAACTACTGAACGTCTACAGTGTCTACTCAACGTCTTCGGTACCTATCCAACGTCTCCCAGCCGTCCAGTGAAACTCAAATCAAAGGTCTATCCAAAACACTACAACGATAATAAGCGATGCTAAAGCTCTAAGCTAGCTCTACCATACCTTGATCCTCAATGGTAAGCTGAAAGATATTACGAAAAGAGCTAAGACAGTGTGATTGCACCACGTAAACTAACTTACCAGGTTGCTCGCTGACGCTGGCACCATCGGGATTGTCGAGGCTGGGCTGCTGGCTCTGCGTGCCCTCGTGTCTCCTCGGCGCGATGATCTGCTGGTTCAGTTCCGGGCCTCTGGTGGGCACGCTGCTCGCCCTGTACAGCGGCTGCCGCTTGCCGACCTTGGACGCGAAGGACGAGGCGATCGTGTGCACCGGTTTCTTCCTGAGGGTCGCCAACGCGCCTAGACCGTGGGCCAGCATGTGACGGGCATCGTGATGATGCGTTTGCTGAGACCGGGCGTGATGGGGCTGAACGTCGTGGCCACCGGTCTCCAACGAGGACTTCGAGTCCGTCGATCCCTCCGACCTTGAACCGCCGTCTTCAGAGCCTGGAGAGTACACAGAGTCCTCCGAGCGAGATCTGCCTGGGGGAGCAGGCCTCTTTAAGAATTTTCGGTGTTCAAAACGACGAATAGAAATTTGAGAAACTTTCGCTGCCTTTGGGCGGTGTCTTGGATAGCGTGGAGAATAATTGTCAGCTTGAACAATTGATTTTTTAACCACGTACGCTCTCACCGACGCGAGTTAAGACGCTAATTGCCGTTAAGCGGGTAGAGTATTGAATAAATAAATGAAAAAGGGTTGAGAAACTTCACCATTACTTTATCATTAACATTTGAGCAAGGTTTGAGATTTTAATAAATGTACGTCTTGTTAAAGTAAAAGTGCATACGACGAATAAATAAAATTGGAAGAAAGAACTCGAAGTAAAATTAGCAATCAAATCGGTACATCGAAAATTTTGAACCCGTCGCGTCGACGAGACTCGTGAACTTAGTGTCAATTTCATTTTTGTGTCCGACAATCGACTCGATTAATCGGATTCACTGCTTCGATTATCCGAAATCTGATGCGTCCCGATGCAACTTACTGATCAGTCTGGAGACCTTGCTGCTCCTAGCAGACTCGATGATGTTTCCCCAGCCCTTCTTCCTCGAGCCGTTCCTCATTCTCGCCTGCTGACACGACAACCCAGGCACGCTGTTGGTGCTGGTGCTGTGAGGACTCTTCTTAGGCGTGGTACCTGGCCCGAACAGTCCGCTCAACGTCGAGCCGAAGTCCTGCGAGTTCTCGTGCTGCACCTGCTGCTGGAACGCGACGAACTCGTCGACTGGTGGCAAGCTCCCGCTTCCGCCTGGTTGAGGGGCGATATTGAAGCCCTTCATTAATCGTCGCTCCTTCTGACGGTTCTTCTTACCGCCCGCACCTATGGACAGCTCTTTAAGGCTACCGTCTGTATGGGGAAGACAGAAAAACCGAGGACTATGCTCAAGCGGCTACTAAAAAAAAAATGGGTGCAGGAGAACTCGACACGTTGACACATTGCACATTGCACGTTGACACGTTGCACATTCTAGCTGAACGAAATGATTATTTGTTGCGGATTTGCGGTAAAAAAATGTGTAGATCAAATGCGAAACGACACAAAAACATTTAAACAATTTGAAAATATTATTGTATTACTGTGAAAGAGTGAATGAAAAGAGGAAATAAATGTCTATGTAGTTTCTGTATCTTTGCATTAATGAAGAATTAATGAAGATTTTTATTTTACATAAGTATCCGCGGTCTAGTCATAATATAATAATAGTTTGTATATGTTCGTATGATATACATTCATACAATTAGCTAGACCGTTATGCAGATTTTTATGCTCCATAAAAATTGTCTGCATAGATTCCAAGCAACAAAAGCGGAAAAAATATATTCGTCTTGTTTCAAACGTTTTAATAAGCTAAATCTGATATGTTAGCGTTCTTAAATTCTTTCTACATTTTGTTATTGTTTCAAACGTTGCCTACGCGTTTTTATCACAAACGCATAAAATCCGCAACAGTCTATAGCTCCATAATTTTCTAGAAACTATTATTCATACTCTTAAAAAGGTATACTCTTCCACTTATTCACTGGAGACATTAACGAAACTTCATCAGAATTCAATGTGAGCGAAAGCGAAAATCAGAACAACTTTAATCTGGCAGTATTAAAAAAGCAAAATATCATCAATTGTTGTTAACACGTGTACAAATACGGCCGTGTTTTCCTATAAATGCATAAAAATCCCGGATTCTAGTAATCGCGGCAGCAAATATTTTGTTTCATCGATTGAACTGCTTTGACTGCACGGAGGATTGTTCGGCAGTGAACGTGTGTCACGGGAATAAAGCGTGGCGATGACGCGTTGTTAATCGTGCTCGGTCCAACCAACAGGTGAAATTAGACCACCCTCTGTAACCCGATCACGCGGGGGTGGTTGGTTTTCGGGGCGAGAAGTTGCGCGGACTTCTTAATTCCCAGTTGAACCCGTTAACGACTACGTAATATCCGGGCCAGACGATCCCTTAATTGCATTAATTAGCCCCCCGTTGCTCGCCGGATGATTAATAGCGCAGCCGGGTGTACGGAACTTCGGAACTTTCATTTACGTGGATCGAGCCCGCATAGATCCACCCACAACACTTTGTATTCGCGTCGCGTGCACGTTCGGCTTCGGAGGATGTTCGATGGACCCTTGTTCGATGGACCATTTGGCAACCGGTGACTTACGGGGTCCATTCTCGTCCGTTCATGGTTGTGCCGAAGATTTCTGCCTTGTTTAATGCTACACCTACCGAGATACATAGTTGGTTTCACGTTTTCTTGTTCGTTTCAATACTGTCACACTGGATCAAAATGACCCACATTATATTTTCCATAAAAGTGAAATTAATAATTAATTTAACATACTTCGAAGTGAGAGATATTCTATTTTAGAACGTTCAAGTAATATCCTCAAATTTTTCGGTCTCGATAGCATTGCTGGTTTTCGAGTGCCTGTTGTTTTTTTAAATTGTATGACACGCGTGATATATTTTGACACAGCGAAATATGTTTTTAATGCAAGTACACGTTGTAATAAAAATAGTAAAAGGTCTAAATAGAAACAGTCTTTTCATCGTTATGCAGTAATACATGATGGTTAATACGCCTAGTAATTAAAATATTTAATGATTTTCTACTTTTATTTTCTGCTAGATACTTCTAACAGGATCAAGTTCATTATTTTTTGAATAATTATTGGATCTTCGCTTTGTGTTCTGGAAAAAATTATTTCATTCTAGATAGCTCGATAGAAGTGGAATTTATTTTGTATCTAAAAAAAAGACATTTCCTTTATCTGTGTCAAAACAATTAAAATTTTTAACATGCTCGTTAGGTCCAATCCGATTGCAAGTTGCCTCGCAAGAATAAATATTATTCTTTCACTTTCGAATTTCTAAAATGATGACAAAGAACAATTACGTCGTTTCCGGAGCACATGTACAGATGGATCAGAATGGACCCAGTGTTCGGCGGAGGAGGGTGCAGGGAACGATTGCGAACGACTGCGAACGATTGCGAACAATTGCACAACTACCGCGCGTCGAAGTGAGAAGCACGAAGAACACTACGGAGGAACTGAGAACAAAACAGTGCTCGTCCATCTAAATGAACTCTAATCATTTTCCACTAGATAATCATCTCACCGGTACCCGTTCCGCTAGCTGTCGACGTGTTCATCCCGGAGTTCTTCAGGATCTCGATCAGCTCGTACCGAAACGCGCTGATGTCCTGTTTGATTTCGTTCACGTCGTCCTCCGTCACACCTTCGCTCTCTGCTTTCCTCTGCTCCACGGTGACGTATCTTCTCACTAGGTTTCTCATGATGCTTTGATAACGGTAGTCCCTCTCCGACGCCTGTTTCGCCTTCCTCTGCAAGCAGGGATCATAAAGGCGTGTCTGTTGTTACTTCAGGGGCTGGATATTATTATAGATCCCCAGCAGCAGGAGCCTCTTCTGCCTTCTGAACTCTGGCGCTGTGCATCCTCTTATATTTTCACTATACTAGACCTAGCTAATACCTAGCGAGATAGTCATACAATAACTGATCGTAGCCAGATGTTCTTTTTTCAAAATTAGATTGTTCTTTTTAAATAAAGGCCGGCTGCAGCACCTAGCAATATAGCGATACTGTAGCAGACAATAGCCAAATGTTCTTTTTATTTCAAACAAAAATTTTAGCAAGTTGATAGATCACGATCTACTGTAATACCTAGTAATAAGTGGCAGAGCAATACGGTGGCTGATTATAGCCAAATGATCTTTTTTCAAAATTAGATTGTTCTTTTTGAATGAAGGCCGGCTGCAGCACCTAGCAATATAGCGATACTGTAGCTGACAATAGCAAAATGTACTCTTTATTTCAAACAAATTTTAGCAAGTTGATAGATCACGATCTACTGTAATACCTAGTAATAAGTGGCAGAGCAATACGGTGGCTGATGATAGCCAAATGATCTTTTTTCAAAATTAGATTGTTCTTTTTAAATAAAGGCCGGCTGCAGTACCTAGCAATATAGCGATACTGTAGCAGACAATAGCCAAATGTTCTTTTTATTTCAAACAAATTTTAGCAAGTTGATAGATCACGATCTACTGTAATACCTAGTAATAGTTGACTGAGCAATACAATGGCTGATCATAGCCAAATGTTCTTTTTTTATTACAAACAAATAGTAACAAGTTAAAAGATATTGTATGACTTAATTAGATGTTCGAAGAGCAACGAGGAGAAGAAGCCTTGATTCCTACGAGGGTAGATAAAAGACTTTATAACTCGTAGAAGGGTATCAAGAGAAAGAACTTTCAATTTGTAGATGGGTAGCTAAAAGGTTCTAAAGGACTAGCTGGCATTCCTGAACATTTGAGAAAACTTTTGAAACTCTACAACAGACTCCAAGATTCTAGAAGAATTATTTCCTGGCTCTAAGAGGTTAGTTAAAAAGATAGGAGTTTAGTTAGAATTTCTAGTTGAGACAATTAAGAAAAAAAAATATATATAAGGACATTAAAGACTTAAAACAATACTTTTTTGGAGGCTAGCTAGAACAAGAATTTCTAATGATTAGAAGGGTAACAAGGACGAGTATCTAGTAAGACACTTGCAAGACAAATTTTTTAATTTTGCTATAAAGTATATTCATTAATAAAGGATCTAATCTAATTCCTAAGACAATAGCTAGATCAGTGTCCAACTTTTACGCTAGTACCTAGAAAAATAGCTTGAGATTCTATCGAGGTAGCCAGAGTGCCAATTCGTACTCTCTAGAATTTGTAATCTTCGTTTAACAAGGACCTAGGACAATGGCTAGATCGGTGTCGAGTTTCTACAATAGTACCTAGAAAAATAGCTTTAGTATCTATGTAGTGCCGGTATCTACACTCTACAAAAGGCGTCTAACTATTTCGTACCAGCTTTCTAAGCCCTAGAGAGTCAAAGCCAAAGAAAGGGTGTCTAATCTCTAATAGGGCAGCCAGTCTAGGTAGGTAGCTCTCTAAGAAAGGTATCTAGAAGATAGTAGCTAATACCTACCGAATTCTTAATAATCTTCTGGTATTCGAGAAAGGAGAAAGAGATCTATTCAAGAGAATTCAATATGTTCGCGCGACACAGACGACCAATTAGAAGTAATCTCACCCTGATGGTTCGCATGTGCTCTTTCTTGGCAGCCCGGCTGTGGCCGCAAAGCTTCCGGTACATCCATTGGCCCATGTACCAGACGCTCTTCGGCGTCGGGATTATGTTGAACGGCGGCGGCACCGTTCCGCCCTCCTCGAAATAGCTGATCCACAATTTGCTCCTGGCGAACTTCCACTCGACGTCCGCGCGTTCCTGATTCGTATCAGAAAACAGATCGTTACCGGAACAAACGCCGACCCGGCCCGCCCCGCCGCTTTCGTGGAAATGAAGAAGAATCACCACTCACGGAGATCAGCTGATACGAGTGATTCATCATCGCGATCAGAAGGTTCAGTAGGACTACGATGTTGATCACGGAGTAGGTGCCGAACATCAGCATGCCCCAGAACCTCGTGAACGGCTTGATCCCGTCCAGCTCGAAGCTCTCGAGGTCTACCAGACCGAACACCGCCCAGAACAGCGTCTGAGCCGTCTCGAACAGGCTGGAGTCCGAATTTAAGGTCGTTTTTACCCACGAGACTTACCAAAATTAAAGTAAATGTGTAAGTCTGTTTCTATAATAAAACGAATGTCGAATGACAAACTAAACATCGTCTTCCACTATCACCGAAATGAAAAGAAATACATGATGGTTCTTGATTGAATTGTTTTATTTTAGCTGACAGAATATATTCGTTCACCATCTGGAACGTACTTAATTAGTCGACCATTGTTATTTGATTTATAATTTTCGACTGGGTTCTGTCAGAGAGAATGTACTCTTTCATTCATTGATGTGATATTCTTAATTAAAATAATTGTACAAGAGAATATTTATTTTACTATTCAATTCATAATTTTATTGCTTGATCATGTTAGGAAGAAAATATCTTATCCTTATCTTTTAGAAGGACATACTTAATTTTCATGAGAATAATAATCAGTATATATTTTGTTAATCAATCTATAACTTTGGTCTAGGTTCCGTCAGAGAGATTGTACTGATTTAATTATCGGAGAAACATTTTTAATCGAAATGACGATGGAAGACAATATATACTTTATTATTCAGTTATTAATTTTATTTCCTCAATCTTTTAGACCTTTTGAAGGATCATATTTTACTTTTATGAAAGTAGTAGACAACATTTACTTTGTCATTCAATTTATAATTTACAATTATACTGCATTCCGTCGGAGAGACTGTACTTCTGTATTCGTCAGAAGAACACTTTTAATCGAAACAATGTCTGAAATGATATCTTTCAATCTTGGTGAAAATTACACCCTAAGAACACATCTTTATTATTTATCATCTCCAGCATATCTTACTGCGAACATGAATGTTTCATCATGAACTGAAATGTCTATTTTAACGTACGAATCGTAACAATGTGCTAATTACTTTTAATCACTGGACGTGACGATTTGTACTCAGTTACATCTTGACCGAACATGACAATAAACTTCTGAAGAATCTTGTACAGAATACAAAGCAGTATCTGATTGCGAATTCGCTGGAACCGTGAACGACGCGACGTCGGAAAATGAAGTTCCGTAGGCACCTCTACCGCAGTGAAATGTTCACATACTTGGCAAAACGTCGCCAGACGATGCAGGCATTTGAATCGGGCGCACTGGAATTCGAGGGGGCGTAGGACATGGCAGTCGGGCACCGTTTCTTCTCCATGTCGGCGTAATACCACAGCAGCTGGTTCAGGCCTGTCAACAGACGCCGTATCGTCAACCGAATCGTGTTACATTGAACGTCGCCGAAATCGTTGCTAGCGCGGATTTAGTATTCTGATCGGTTTACCGCAGGAGAATGCGAACAGCACCAGCACGTAGAGGAAGAAGAATTTCATAATGTCCATAACCATCCTGGACAGGGAGACCTGAAGAGGTCCGAGGTGAGGGTTCACGGAGAAAATGTAGACGAGCTTCAATGAGCTGCAAGCAGACGAGAGACGACTTCATGGTCTCTGTTCAATTACGGTTAAATCGAGTACGACCGTCCGTGCGTTTGTCCTCTGCGTGTGTTTGTGCGAGGGAGGAGAGACAGGCGCGCTGCCGGCTCCGAAATTCGCGCTGAAAGGGGAAACCCTTAATTATCCGCGGGAGGAGTTCGCGCGGTGCTAACTGCGTTTCCGAACAGAGAAATTCGTACTTAATTATTCTTCTAATGAAAACCAGCCACTCGCAAGATTCTGCGACGAGGTCTGCTCGAACGAAAATCATGCGAGTGTCTTTCGTCGAGGACTTTCGAGACCAGATAACTACTTGCTACAGTGCTCACTGGATAATTAATGTAATAATTAATCCTCCTCTCTGTCTTATTGTCTGAATTGAATTTTAGGAAATTAACATGGAGAGAAGACAAATAGGTAGAGGTGGTGATTTCTGTTTGGGAGGCAATTCTTTTTATTGGGAAACTGTTATTTCGTGATCAGATGGGTCAAGAAAGTTAATTAATAGTGATAGTGACAGTCCTTTAATTATTAATATATATATAATATAAATTATATTATTATTATATATATATATATATATATATATATATATATATATATATATATACATATTATAATATAATATATTATTAATATATTATAAGATAATATATATTATTATATTAATAGTGA